ACGCGAGCCGTTCTCTTTGACCTGTTGAGCGAAATTAAAGCATCACTGAGCAAGAATGTCTCGCCATCGCGTGGTCCATATAAAAATTTCGCCCTTATTTATGCGGCCGGCATTTCACAATAGTGACTCACCATCATGCTCCGTGTTGGTTATCATATCTCAGAAATTTGTCGGACGCCTTGGCCATTGAGTGCTACGATTGCAAGAGTATGACTACAACGTCACATATAGGTCGGGTCGGCAGCACAAAGATGCCGTTGCTTTGTCATGTTGCCCGCTATCGCAAAGCGTCGAAGAGTCACCTTTCATCTGTTCGTCACCACCCACTAAAGTGACCAAGCAGACAGCTGCTGATTCGAAAGAGTTCGTTGCCTCGGCGGATCTTCTTTCGTCCACAGATCTCACCTCGCTCCATAATGCCAATACCTACTGCCGCACAATCATCGATCGGCTGACTGCTTTATCGCGTGCTCCAAACAGCCACCTATGACGACAACTTGCCCGTTTCAAGCTTCAAGATGGAACATTATGTCGGCAATTTTACCATTCTCTCGGTAACCAATGGGTTCCCATCACTCCTCGCTCACTTCGTCTGGAAGTTCTACAAGCGTTTCATGACAACGCGACAGCTGGCAACTTAGGGTTCCACAAGACTTACGACCGCCTCAAGACTCGCTGCTTTTGGCCTGGTCTCTCCACTTTGGTCGCCAAGTACGTCGCTGCCTGCGCGTCATGCCAGCACCGAAAACATACCACGTATCTTCCCGCGGGACCATTGCAACCACTGCCATGCCCGTCCACTCCCTTTGAATTTGTGGGCATAGACCTATACGAACCTTTTCCGCTTACGCCGGCTGGACACCGTTGAATTGTTAATTCCGTGGACCACCTCACTCGCTACGCGGAGATGGCAGCTCTTCTCTCTGGTGCTACCTCTGAAGTCACCGATTCTTCCTTCGTGCCATTATTTCACGACATGGCGCACCGCGTGTGCTTCTTAGTGACCATGGCAAGACATTGCTTTCACATGTCCTTGTTGAAGTCCTCCAGGTCTCTAACACCATCCACAAGACCACTTCAGCGCATCACCCAGAAACTAATGGTCTGACTGAGCGCTTTCACTGAACTTTGTACGACATGATCTTCATGTACGTTCAACCGGATCACAAAAACTGGGACACTATACTTCCTTTTGTCACGTTCGCATATAATACTGCCATACAGCATACGATGAGTTTCAGCCCTTTTTTTCGCGTGTATGGCCTTGTACCGACTTTTGTTCTGGACACCACCTTTTTTTTCACATCTTCCGTTCCATCTTCATCTCTCCCGGTAGAGTTCGACCCTCGCGTCGCCCGCTGCCATGAAATCGTCCGCGCCAACACTGCTACCATTGAGGACAAGAAAAAAATCGACATTGATGCAAAGCGTCGAGTTGTTCTGTTCCGCCCAGGCGACGAAGTCCTTTTGTAGACACCTGTTCGTGCACCTGGGCTCTGCGAGAAATTCCTTCACCGATATCTCGGTCCATACACTGTCCTGGAACGACCATCCGAAGTCGACTATCGCGTTGCTCCTGTCAACGCGGCTCCTGATCGTCGTCCCCGCCACACCAAGATCGCCCACGTCTCTCGACTGAAAATATATATTCGGCGCCTCAACCCTTTCTAACTTGCTGCCCTCTTTCGCGAAAGGGGGAAAATCGTTTGAGCGCTGACTATGTACTTCACCTTCATTTGTAGGACCAAACCATTGTAGTGATCATCATCGTATGTCACGCAGGCTGGCCTCTTTGGCTCGTGCATCTGGATTAAAAGAGATAACCTGGTTACTGCCATACCGGACGTGGTCTCATAATATATATATATCTATGTATATATATATATATATATATATATATATATATATATATATATATATATATATATATATATATATATATATATATATATATATATACAATGTGAGTGACAGCAACGTTCACGTTGACGCCAATGGCAAACTTCACAAACTTCAGTGGAGAGTGTCCATATAAATGCTATCGCAATAAAACAAATCCTCGGTCTGCACACTAAACATATAGCAGGCAAGGCCAATCAGAAAAGAAAAATGAACAGGGCAGAGCCAAGTGAAATTTTGAGGAGGAAAGATGGGGCAGGCAAAGCGGACTCCACCCCCAGTCTAACCAGACAAAAAAAAAGAATACATTTAGTTTGGTCTATATTGTTGATCTTACGGCTAACATGTTTGATGAAGTTAATCTTCAGGAACGAATCCTGCGATGAGCAGAATAATAATGCTGTTTTCTATAGCTTCATTCAATAAACGTTTTCTCTCTCTCTCTCTCTCTCTTCTATATTTTGCTTTCCTATCAGTTGACAGTCGACGAGGGCAGTACCAGATCAAGGGACCACTTTTGTCTAATAAGAAGGGAGAACGAATGAACTACAACTATGGCCAGTACGGCCATATAGCGAGACACTGTCCCCAACCAAAACGGCCGATCAAGTGTTCTCGCTGCAACGGTACAGACCATAAACAACGTCACTGCAACGCGGCACTGCAGCGCAATGAAGCAAACGCGGTAACAGAGCCAATACATAAAACCAAGAGCACAAGTGAATTATTCAAGGAAGTCACTATGAATAGAAGGCTCACTCTTGGACTCATCGATACAGGAAGTTCTCGTTGTCTCCTGTGTGCTTCCGTGGCAGCGAGGTTTGTCTGAGAGATTGTTCTTGATACAACACGCTTGTATGGTTTTGAAAGTAGCACTGTGCCTGAGACGAAAAATATTGTAAGATGCAAGAGCGATTTACTCATCGATGGTGTTTTAGAAAAGCACGTACCCTACCTCGCTGTCCCCGAAGAATCCCGATTTGTGGATTTATTGGTCGGAAGGACATTCGCTGAGTTGCCTTACATCTCGTATGCAAGAACGGGATGTTCTCTGCGGTTTTGGCATTGTAGTGACTGTCCGCTTGCTCATGTTGAACCTTATGCAAGTGATTAAAGATTGCAGCTGAGCGCAAAGAGGAAATGCGTACGCCAAAGTTACACTTTCAAATAGATTACTTTTTCTATCAATCGAAGGCGTCACCAGTTTGTACGAGCTACACCAGGAGAGGCACTGCAAGTTTCTGGACGAAACTTCAGTTCTGATGACATGGAGCAAGGAAATAAAATGGTGAAAGTGAAGCCCTCGACAACTTCAAGAAACTCAAACGAAGCTCTGACGTGAACGTTGGAGCCTCTATGACATAGTTCTAACACGTTTTCAACTCGACACACAACCTTCAGGCTAACAGACAAGTCTAACGAGTGACCCGAGCTGTGTGGCCCGTCGTCATTATGGCAATGAAGGTGCCGGCGTACCAAGATTGGGATGGAAACATCAAGTATGTTGAGTGAAATTTAAACAATGCTGTGAGCGAAAGCATGAGTAAGACGTCTGACGAAGTGCTACACGGCCATAGGCCAGTTGGTTATGCTCTGCAAAGGGCCAGAATGGGTGAGGAAAACGCTTAGTGTAACCCAAGTGAGCTTCAAGAAACTGCGACACAACACTCAGTGGAAGAACAAGCCAAAAGTAAAGCAGCATATGACAACCGTCGTTACCCCGCAAGGCTGTATGATGTCGGCGAAGTGGTATTCTTCGAGGTAGAGTCCAAACACAAGGGACACCCAACTAAATCACAACCGAAATACCGAGGACCTTTAGTGATAACAGAAGTATTGCCTGCCGACACGTACAGAGAGTCAGAGTTGAACAAAGTTACTGGGGCTGCTAGGTACGCTACGACAGCGCATGTTTCGCAGTTGAAGGCGTCGACGTCTACAAGCAAGACGTCTTACCTGGATGACGTCGAAAATACCGAGCACCAAGCAGACCAAGATCAGTGCGCCCCTGGTAGTCAGGCGCCCACGAAGGCAACAGGTCATACTTGCCAGACTACGTACTGCGTGTTGTAAAACAGCAATCAATTTCCTTTTGCAACGTCTCGACGAGGACGTTCAGCTTTGAGGATGGCCGAATGTTATCTATTCAGCTAGTAGCTAGCGCCACCTTTGTAATGCGCCACGACAAGTAATAAATGGCTCAAGCATAGCCTCAGTAGCAGTGTGTGCGCGTTCGTGCGACAATACGAGTGTGTGTGCGTGCGAGCGCAAGACACATTGGGTAGTTCGACGGACGCTGTGTGTCCTCCTGTGCGACGAACTCGAGTGAGTCTCTCTTCAGTCTGAACATTCTTTGTTTACTTTTCATTTAATAAAACTGTTTCATCTTGCCTGAAGTAGCCCTGTGAGTGTGTGTCTCTCCTCTGAAGACGTTGATTGTTAACACTGGTGGATATCCAAACTGGTCCTTGTATTTCACTGATGGTCCCTCACTTGTCAGTGAGTAGGCATCAGTGTCCTTTCTGTCGCAGTCGGGTCCCGTCCGCTTCCTGGATGTGGCCGTCGCAGAAGGAGGGGGACCTGGTAGATATCCGAACTGCAGACGCGTAGCCAGAAAATTTTTTCTGGGAGGGGGGCACCACATTAAATTCGGGAGGGGCACCCCTCAAAATGGCCATTTTTCGCTCTCTATGCCATGGCGAAAAAAATTTGGGGGGGGGGGGGGGGGGGGCACGTGTTCGGTGCGCTACGCTTCCGCCGAACTGGCACTTTTACATCACTGATAACGCAGCAGCAGAGTTCACGAAGGGAACGTGTTATAGCGGAAACATGGCAAGAGATACTCAAACAGCGTACCGCTAGGCACACAGTTCGTCTTTCTTTTTTCTAACGGCAATATCTTCTCAATCCTGCTATGGTCTAACCTTTCTAATTTTTTTGTGACATTCTAATATTCAGCTGAAGTGGGTGACAAGGGTGCACCCGTTGAGCACACCCATAAATTGTCCAGAAAAAAGATGAATCAAGCGATAACCTTCTTTTTTTTTCGTCACTGATGTATACCACACAAGGTCTGTTCACCGTGTACCTTTCTTTTGCAGGTGACGAGTGGAAAAGAATGCGTTCCGTGCTTAATCCAATATTTAGCACGGCCAAGATGAAGCTGATGTCACAAGTGATGAGTGACTGTGCCAATACTTTGGTCGAGGTCATATCGCATCAGCTGTCAACTGGTCGAGCCGTCGTCAACGCTACCGAACTCTCCCAGGGGCTTTCTTTGGACGTCGTTACAAAGTGTGCTCTCGCGTGGCAGGTGAGGAGTTTTTTTACGTTGTGTAAACGAAACAAGCAACAGAAAAGTTTGCTTCTTGAGGTAATAAAGAGGACACAAGCTTCTGCGATTTTACACGTCAAAACGTCGATGTGATTATCAGGTAAGCAGGAATGGAAGGCTGTGTAAATTTAGGCCACTAGCTGCCCTTGAACGTGTGCCTGAACCTAAACGCAAGGCGGTTTAGCGTCCCGGCAAGTGCCATGACCCAGATCGAACCCCCATCTTTAGCGCCATACAAAAGAACCTTAACACACGCAGTGATAATATGGGGTTGTAAAAAATACACAGGAAATGAACTCCCCCCAAGAGTAGAATCAATCTTTATGCTAGTACTAACGTTAAAAAAATTCACAGGGTTCTTTATCCCTTCACTTAAGACGACTCGAAGGTGAGAGCCAGCGTCATTTTCTTCTGAGCCGATGTATTTATCTTCCTTCCTCCACCCATCGACAGCTTTCGGTATTTACCGTTTTGCATTGCCTGCGTGATGACACTACCGTAATTAGACCAAGCTATACGTTGTCATGTGACGACTTCATAATGACGTCATAAACTTTAATGATCTGTGACGTCATCAGGTGACAATGATTTTCAGGGGCGAAGCACCTTAAGACCTCACAATGTCCGCCCGTCTGCAATCCGTGCACGGCGTAGCGAAAAGCCGAAACGCAGAGGCGCCATCTGCGCGGCACCGCGCGAAAAACAAGCGCTTTGACCGTGTCTCTTCATTATTATTGATGCCAGCCAGATACGTCTGATGCAGCTGTTCACCACCTTCTTCTCTATTCCTTTGCTGCTCTCACCCATCATCTAGCCTACGCCTGTGCTTTGCGGTCATAGAGAAGACAACCCTTCATGCAGTGTCTCACAACGAGAATAATATAAAGTAATTTTTCCTTCATTTGTGTACAGATCTGTGGGGCGGCGTCTTGCATTCCTTGTTATCACAATGTTCGTGGTCACGCTGGCTCTGTAAGTAATACGGCCTTTTCAGATAGCGTTCGTGTGCTCAGATTTGGGCGCACGTTAAAGAACCCCAGGTGGTCGAAATTTCCGGAGCCCTTCACTACGGCGTCTCTCATAATCATTTGGTGGTTTTGGGACGTTAAACCCCACAAATCAATCAATCAATTTCAGATAGCGTATCGCCGTTCGTGGTCCTATGCAGGCAATCATTGGGGACGCGTCACGGTGATGCCGCTGCGTGAGGTGGCGGTGGCATTTCTTCCAGTCACGAAGTTGAAGCATGAAGGGAGAAATCTGAGACACGTAAGATGATAGAGAGGGGCACACGTCTATTGCGTTTCCATGAAAAAGTGCTCGGAAGCATGTGTGATACAAGCAGCCCTATCCCTCCTGTTTACCTAACAGCTTTTTGCCGCACTCTCTCAAGGTTCTCATCACAATATGAACACAAAAAATCACAAAAAACAAAAAATACATGACACAGCGCGTGTGTCGTGCAATTTCTTGTGTTTTCGTTCGCTGATTGTGATGAGTATGTTCCAACGAGTCCAATTTGCTACTATACTCTCAAGGGTATTGATATTAGTTTTAGTATCCCCCGAAATGCATTCGTGTTCAGTTTAGGTCTAATTAGGGCGTTACAGCGTAGGAGTTTTACTCGGAATGAATGTTTGTAGGTTTGTGCTTGAAGAGAAAAAGTTTTCTGAAGGGCGAAGTGCAAGTGTTACTTTTGTGGTCATTTTATGTTAGGTTGTTGTTGAAGGGGACTCTTAGATACATGTGTTGTGTTACTTAATGCAACAGGGATGCACCTAATTTCAACGTATAAAGCAAAGGTGATTTTTCAGGTGTCGTTAACCTAGGTGAATTTTTATGTGTGCTTTGTGTCATTTGCTAGTTGAAGCAACATTCAAGAATATTACCTCAAATACTACAAAGCTAATTTCATCATTGATAGAAATTTTATTAATGAACAGCACGAAATTATCAGCAATTTTTGAATCTGCACACCACCCTAAATAATGATAACAGTGACGTTCATATATAAAATAAAAGAGAGCTGAGGACACCGCCCTTCGATACACCTAATTTGACTAGAAGGGAGCCTGATTTTGCCTAAATAATCCGTAGGAATCTATGGCGGTTAAAAAATTATGCAGCCACCCGCGATTCCGCTAATTGCCCCGCCGCGGTGGCCTAGCGGCTAAGGTACTCGGCTACTGACCCGCAAGTTGCGGGATCGAATCCCGGTTGTGGCGGCTGCATTCTCGAAGAAGGCGGAAATGTTGTAGACCCGTGTGCTCAGATTTGGGTGCACGTTAAAGAACCCCAGGTGGTCTAAATTTCTGGAGCCCTTCACTACGGCGTCTCTCATAATCATATTGTAGTTTTGGGATGTTAAACCCTACACATCAATCAATCAATCAATCAATCAATCAATCAATCAATTCCGGCAATTTGAAGTTTCAGAAAAAAATTTGTTCTATGCGAAAATAGCAGACCGGGCTTTTCTGAAGTATAGAAAAACTGTGTCAGTTTGTTTATTTTTGTGAAGTGTTTATGAAAAGGAATGACAAACAGTGACCAGCTGGGTGACATCCAAAACCGTGAGATGAGACATCTGAGACTTTCCCCTTATAAAAAAAATCGGGTTACACTTTTTAGATTAAGAGTGAACATGCTGACTGAGTATGTCTGAAGCTTACGTCACATATATACAGACAAACAGGCGTTGCAATCGTACACAACACAGTGATAATGAACATGTGCACCACCTGCACTGTAAGAACAACCATACGAACAACAACCGGTTATAGCCTCCTTTCATGTGTTGCATTGTGAGCATTTAAACATCAAGTACGCCAAGCACATGTAAGTAATTGGTGGTCGTTAGAAACACTGTATACCAATATCGACTTTTTACGATAACCCGACATAACATTCAACGCCGTTTACATCAATAGAATTCCATTTACCAGCAGGCACCTGGTTCAATACAGTGCAGCGACCTATAGGCCCAAGTCTAATAATTGTTACTACGCGCTTACAAATACAGTTGAGACAATCTTTTGGGAAGGCTGGCCTAGGAACGACGTTACGACCCGGATCCGATCCGACAAGCGGTGCCATACGTGGCATCGCAAAAACAAGGCCGATGTACAGAACAACAACAAAAACGCTGCTCTCACGGTTCTTACGTTTTTTCTCACGTCGCCTACCCTTTAATGCAACAGTGCGGAGCTTTCAGCCCCTAAAAAGTGCACAATTCATCCTTCGCGAGCCCCTGCGCCGTGATCAATACCACAAAATAAGACACGTAAGACTACGAGCCAACGCATATGGTGTACCGGCCGAGTTCATCTACAATTCATCGGCGCTTCTGGGCTTATAAGTACGTGATTTGGAGGAGTAAGAATTACTCTGCAGTAGAGATGCGGCATCAGTTATACTCATTGTTATTTTGTTTATCGCGCACAGTGTCCGCACAAGGAGAGATGAGCATCCATGCGACTCGCTGAAAGAAAACGCAAAAAGACCGCTGCATAAAGCTGCCATGCACACTCGTCAGGCCTTCGCTGACTCATGTGTGAAAAAGAGAGACTTGCCCTTTGGTACGCCTTATTAAAAGAACAGGATGCCATACTTTCTTGCGCATTCAACGTAGTTTTGACCTATCGGTAATGTAGTGGCAGCTATCGATAGAGATCATAATCAGCAACTGACATGGCAGCTGTGTCATGATATAGTCAAGGGGTGGTGACGCGTATCTAGAGAGCAGACTGTAGGTCAGAGATGGAACTTCATGTCACGGAACTTGTGGCCGGTGAACAGAAAGTCAGATTACAGCGATACACACTGGCAATGATAGCGGTGAACAGAGCGTCAGCCGTCGATAAACTGACAAGCGGCGAAGCGCATTGGCATTATTACATGTGCTGTCGAATATTCCACTTTTATCAATGGTTGACGGGCAATCTCTGGAACAATTTCAAGTTTGCGCGTCTTGCGTGCCATCTTCGTAAACCGATCACAATAATCGCGAACCTTCTCGAACTGTAAAGCGCAGTTCGCGCTGAACAATCCTGACAGGCTTTGTGGGTGAAAACCAAATGAACTAAAAAATTGGCAGATCCCACGTAAAGTGGGAATCCATGATACGAAGCACGAATGAGTAAGGTTGATATGTCACTTGGAGATCAGCAGAATGTTACGAGAAAAAGGTAAATTACACCGTACATGACCTCCATGTCAAGATTATCATGTTTGGACGTGTCATTTACCTTCTATTCACGTCACATGATACTAAATCTGGTATATATAGAGCTAGCGAAACAACGGCGAGCTCATCATGAAGGGCCGATCATATTCTGGTGTAACGTGGACGCGCGCACACGCTAGGTGCAGCGACGCTAAGCTAGCGAAACATGCAGCACACTATAGTATGACGGCAGGCGCGTATACCAGCGTCCGTCGGTGCGGGGTGGCGGCCACCAGCGCGAAATGCGGCATGCTGCATTTCACGCATGACGCAACGTCCGGGTGCGCCGAAATGCACATACGTCAAAGAAACGCAGCACCTGAGAGCATATGGCAGGCAGATCGGCTCCAGTCAAAGCGCCGCCGGCGTGACGCGACAAAACGAATGCCAGCGTGCACGCGTGCCGGTTCACGTGGACGTGTATTGGCGCCTTGAGTGTGAATTGTAATCATGTTCTTACAAAATTGATTTATGTAACGTCCCAAAACCACCATATAATTATGAGAAGCGCCGTAGTGTAGGGCTCCGTAAATTTCGACCACCTGGGTTTTTTAACATGCACCAAAATCTGAGCACACGGGCCTACAACATTTCCGCCTCCATCGGAAATGCAGCCGCCGCTGCCGGGACTTGATCCCGCGACTTGCGGGTCAGCAGCCAAGTACCTTAGGCACTAGACCACTGCGGCGGGGCCATGTTCTTACATGACACGCATCTGATGATTATCATTTTTGCAGCAGTCACATACCTTCGT